ATTCCTGCTACATGAACGTCAGACACGAAGTAGAGATCCTGGGGTGAATGAAAAATAGGCCCAGAAATGATCTACAAAATCGACACCAAAGTGACACGGGCAAGACACCTGTCGTCCTCTCAGAGACCGGCAGGAGAGCGAGAACAACCTTCTGTACTCTGGTCTGGCTAGCTGACACGGTGGAATACGGCTCTTAGTTCTCGGTGCCGGATTTCATGAGAGACAATGAACGGGGGTGTGCCCACAGCAGGTTTAGGATCCGTGAAGGAGTAAGTTTAGTATGAACTTGTGTGCACAGAGGTGGGAGTAGGTCCAAAAAAGCATTTCGAAAAGAGGAAGGAGAGTGGAATGTTAAAGAAAATCAGAAATTAATTTTTTGTAGCTCTAGGAGGAAGAACCAGGAATGGGGAGAGGGTTATTAGAGAAAGACATTTTTAAAGAATGAAAGTGTGTGAGCAGCCCCAAATGGAAGAGACTGAGGTGAAAAGCGATTTGCGATCTCAAGGGCGGAGCAGTTTCCCTCCATCTGATGGTATCACTGCGCTGGCTGGCAGTTTTAGGAGGCAGCTAGGCCGGATGACTTCCTGAGTCCTTTTCATCTCTAACATACCAAGATTTTTCATCCAATTCCATGAATAATCATCTCCACCATGCACTAAGCCTTGTGAAGTAAGTTAATTTTCCTTTCACCTCACAAACAAACGTTTCTAATGGATGAAAACACCACAGGGAAGTCCCCTAAACAGACATGCTTCCTCCAGTTAAATTCCCTTAAGAGAGTGATTCCCCTTCATCACTAATTCCAAACAAAACTATTGCAAACTACGGTAACAATTACTAGAAAGTGAAAACAACAGCATGGTTAACATGAACGTGCACCCCAAATATGCACTTAATATGAGCAGGTTTGAACAAGACCTCACACGGAGACAGTTCCTCCACACTTTGAGTTCATGGGAAAAGCGCACAAGACCAGGAAATGTGTCACCCACTTCAGGGCACTGCGATCTTACAAAGCTGGAAGAACTCAGGTTGTTATTGCCCTCAGTATTTTCAGCAAAATCGGACAATAAGACATGTGGGTATCCAAACTTTACAATTCTTGTCACTCAAACATATTTTGAACAAGTACTGTTTACATTTTAGCTTAATAGTAAAAAAAAAAAAAAACTTTTCCTAGTCTTATCCTCTAGAAAGAAAAGTTGAAATATATAAAAACTAACCAAAAAAGGGGTTAAGGAGGAACATTTAGGCATTAATGTTCCATTTAATTTAATGTCTTCATAGACAAACTTCTTAACTCTAAACAGGACTTTGTTTCAGAAGACAAACCAAAGCAAAATGGTAGAGTCGAAGGGTTGCAGCTTTGATAGAAATTGTGAGGATAATTAAATGTCAGGAAACCATCTTTCCAGGGGCCGTAAAATAGAGTCCTCTCATGAGAAAACAGTTCTTCGAATCCTAAGGAGCTCAGATTACTTTTATGATTATTACCTTTCCCAATCTGGAAAATCTTCAAGACTCTGCCTTGTAAATGTCACCAACCCAGTAGGTTCTACAAAAGCAATAATAGAAAACACGCTCAACGTAAGCCTCAATTTTGAAAAGATGTTATATATATTTTCTGTAAAAGAATGGGTCTAACATTGACTAAAGAACTAATCAGGAAATACCAAGCTTAGTATTAGAACACAACAATATTCATTTAAAATAATGTTATCCTATGTTAAGACCTCCAATTAAATAATATATACCCAGTAAACAAAACTACTCAAATAGCACAATGGCAAGATTTGAATGCTAGTACTTTTTTGAACTATTTAAAACCAAATACACTTTTTTGGGGGGGAGAGGTAGTTGCCTCAGTGTGTGTGGAGCTGGCTGGAAAGAGACAGAGACAGAGACAGTGAGAGGGAAAGTGAGAAACCACCTCTCATAGGGGGTGGCAACATCACAATCCCTTCTCCTCCCAGATCTTGGGCAGGCACGCAAATGCACGTGCACCTGGCATGATTTTGAAGCCACTGGGCCCAGGACTCAAGCTGTGGTCAACCACGTGTCCACTGACACAACTGCTATGCCCTCTATGGTCTTTGAATATATTTTCTTAGAAAAGCATTTTAAAAGATGCATAATTGGCATAGCTTATACAATAAAGAAAAAAACTGAATTCCACTTTGTTGCTTCCTTTTCAAAGCAAAGCTTTAAATCTATATCCAAAGTCCTGTGAATAGATAGAGATTTATGTGCTTTATGGTACAGTAAAATGTCTTGAGATTAAAAAAGGAAATTGTGGCCATGTCCTCTGGAGTCAGCACAGCTAAATCCCAGCTCAGAGGACATGCGACTGCTCAATTATAAGTAGGCAGCTTAGACGGATGAGGAATTACTGTGTTCTAAGAGTTTAGAGAAGAAAGATGACATCATTTTTTTTCAAGGAGAGGTAGATTTGAGAGGATCAAAATGAAATACTACTATTGCAGTTGGTAATTTTAGAGTATAAGACCCTTTTTTGGTTAGTTTTTTTTCTTTTTTTAAAGCTACTCGCAAAAGCAACAAATAAATCAGCTAACCAGAAGTAATTTGTCTGACTCAAATCAAAGAACTAAAAAGGCTATGCCATTTCTGTTTTCTTCTGTTAAAAAAAGGAGGAAAAAGCTCTTAAGCAGAGAGAGATGTCAGGAACTATTAGTGATGACAGTGTAGAGCCCAATGGAAGCATGGCAATGACTTCTCTCCTACCCACAGTCCATGATTCTTTGCTTTCAGTCACAAGCAGTAACAACCCAAAAACCATACAGAATATTGTTAAATAGAAAACAGAATTTTTTTGTTAACATGGGTCTTAAAATATACTTTATATATCTTTAACTGAACTGGTATGAAGTGTATTTATGCTGGGAAAATTCATGTTATAAGCTATTGTGATGTACGGTGATTGAATGTATAAAATAAATTAAAAACAAAATCTTTATAGATGTAAGACAAATGGATAGCATATTTAAAACTCATAGTAAGAGAGCAGCAAACAACTGAAACGCTAAAGCAGCAGTTCTATTACAAGAAACTAGTATCTACCTTGTCATCAGGAACATGGCCAGAAAAGTAAGAAAATTAAATATCTTTCACATAAACTAAGACATGGAGAAATTCATAAACACACTGACAAAGAAAGAGAAGTGTCTTTTCCTTCTCAGAGATAATGTAACAGAACCCTATCATTCATGATGTCTTAAATTTAAAAAAGTATGATGTTTTAAATAAGTTTCTGAAATCTCTATTCGGTAGACTTCAAAACGCTTGTATAACTAATCATTAAACTGGAAATCTTTTATTTGCCTTGGCATTTCTTCCTTAAGCCATCACCTTCACATCCTAAAAACCTCAAACAATGTTTCACTATATTTTGACAAAGAACCAAAACACCACGTATAGTGAAAAAGCCAGAAAATAAAAGGTCTAATTACATTTTATTTCTTTAATCTAATTTCCAATACTTTTGATGGTAAAAAAAAAAAACAAACTTTAAGCTTTTTCTTCAAAGTCTGAAATCCTAAAACTTAGAAAGGCAAGTTAACTTTCATAGAAGACATATATGATTTGATCCTTAAGACAGAAAAGTAAACTCTGAATTAGTTATTATAATCCTATGCAGATTTAGAAGAGTCAAAAAAGGTAGCCATCTTTCTAAAATTTGACCATAAGCTCACTGCATTTGCCTTAGTAATTCATTCAGGGGAACCAGCAGTTAGCATAATGGCTATGTCGCTGGACTCCCACGTAGTCGACTGCGGTTCGCGTCCTGGACCTGGTGGCTTAGAACTCAAGCTGGATGCGTGTGCGTGCGTGCCCAAGATCCCGAGAGGAGAATGGAGGAGAAGAGACTGCGGCGTGACCATCGCCTCTGGGGGGTGATTTCTTGCTTTCTGTCTCTATGTCTCGCTCTGTCTGTCTGGTGAGTGCACGCGCCCTATAGCGAGGACCTCTCAAAAAAAACAAACAAAAAAGTAATTCATTCAGTACAGGGCACAAAATTGAAATTCAATTAGGTCAGAGAGAAATAATCCTCTATCAAAAAAACAATACACCCTCCCCCTAAATACCAAAATCTTAACAATTGATTTCTTTCTAAATAGTTGAACAATTCCTAATAGCAATACGTTCAAGAGGAAGAAATGCCAGAGTACATTGTTATACAAGAAGGTTAAAAAGAAGGATATCAGGAAAAAAAATAACACTAAAATGATTCAAAGAAAGACATGTTTTAAGACAATCCCACAAGCTGGACGACCAGAACAGAAAGGAACTCATTTCACTCCTGATCTAATCAGCACAAGGAAACTTTTGAGGTATTCAGGTTTCCTTTATAATCAACCTGTAGGAAACAGCTACCCACTAATCACAACTAAACTAACACTTATAAACATGTATATATGTTGGCATGGCGGTTAAGGTGCTGAACTCCTACATGGCCAACTGCAGTTTAAATCCCGAACCTGGTAGCTTACTTTCTCACTTTTTCTCGCTCTCTGATCAAATTTTAAAATAGTAAGAAATAAATACTTTAAAAATGTATGTTTATGTTTTATATCTTCAACTGCACCATGAAGTAATTATCATATTTTATTTCACAGACAAAATAACTAAAGCCTATGAGTGTTAGGAAACTTGACCATGGTCATTTACTCTTGAGACTAGTGTGGTGGCAATACCAACCTATTATCGGCTAGTCACTCGGTGCATTTGTTCCATGTTTGCTAATACTGCGCCAGGGGCTACCACTAGGTTTTAGGGAAGCAAAATAGTTAAGGCCCAGCAGAGGACAACGGGCACATAGACAATGAGTGCAACACCGTTCTATAAAAAATAACAAAGGGGCTGAGTGGGCACGAAAGACAGGAATGGGAAGGAAAATCATACATTCGTTGGCCTATACAAAAAAAAAAGTTAATCTTTTAAATAAAGAACATCCCAAATGTATGCTCTGGTCAATATATCTTCTTTTAAAAGTATTAATTTACTGTTTTTATTCATGAAAATCCTTTGATGTATATTACAGATTTCAGAGTTATTTTGGGACTGATTCCAGAGTATATAAAATAAACATACACACTCATAGCACATAAGTATAGATATACACAAAATACACATAGAATCTAGACTAGAATACTGAATTACTGCTGTTTCAATGTGGTTTGGACAGGAAGGTATACCTTTTTTTTTTTTGACCAGAGAACATATCTGACTGCTAGAGAGAGAGAGGGAAAGCAAGGAAACAGCTCCCCATGGAGATGGCCAGGCCATAAACCCTTCTCCATCTCTCCTCCTTTTGGATTTTGGGCATGTATGCACACACATCCAATATGCTTCTCAGGGTGCTGGGTCAGGACTCGAATCACACAGTTGACCACATGGGATCCAGCAACCTTCACCAGATGCCACGGCTGGCAGAAGGTGTACTTTAAACACTCAATGTTTCTCACATGCCACTTGACGTGAACGGCTTCCATCAGCATGAAAAATTACAGAAAGAATGAAAGGTATTTACTTCTCTCTGTGACTCTTCTGAAGTAGCAAAAGAGTGTCTTAAGCTTCTCTGGTTTCCTTGATGAACGTCCCTCAAACAACCTGAAAAATAAATAAATAAAAGAGGGTAGAGGATGATTTAAAATGCCTTAATGATTCATAAAATACTAAGTCTACGTTCCTACCAATTAGTAAAAAGAATTCTTCCAGAAGACAATTCTAGGGGTAGAGAATAGGAAAATTGGTTTGGATTCAAAAAGCACCTAGAGAAAGAGGACTAAAACCAACCAGAGCCAGACTTCTTCAAAACCGTTCAAGTCAGATGGCACTCTCTACCACACTTCTAATTCATCTTCCTCCAGGGAGAAGGCACCATCTGGTCTCGAAGTCAATTAGGGTCAGTCAGTTAATACACAGTGCTATTTTCCAATGGCAAATACCATTTAAGATTCAGAATATTCCTAGACAGTTAAACAACTGAACATAAATGGTATCTTGAACAAAATCTACATCTCAGTGTGATGGGAGAGGAGAATCAGTGCAGGATCTGGGGGGACAGGCAAGTGTGACAAGTTATCAGGGACTAAGTAGTCCTTGGTAATTAAATAAACAGACCTCGTAATGGACTGAATGTTTCTGCCCTCCCAAATGTGTATGTTGAAGTCCTAATCCCCAAATGTGGCTGTATTTGGAGAAGACTCTGAGAGAAGGTGGTAAAGGTTAAGTGAGGTCATAAATGTTAGGTAAGGACACACAAGATTGGTGTCCTTAACCAGAAGAAGAGATGCCAGAACTCTCGCTCTGCCACGTGAACACACACAAAGCCATCTACGCACCAAGCAGAGTCTTATCGGGAACCAAGTTGGCCAACACCTTAATCTGGGACTTCTAGGCTCTGGACTATGTAAAATAAACCTCCCCCATTCAAGCTCTAACCCGTCTGCAGTATTTCTTTATGGGAGTCTGAGCTCAGACATCTTGCATGGCAACCAAAATAATGTCTAGCCTATGTCATTTAGTTTTTAGCAACCTAGACTTGCACTACTTAATTTGGTTTTCTTTGAAATGACATTGCATTGTTATTGGTAACGTATAATTCAATTTGTCCTGAGGAAAGAAAAGCAGGGCCTTGGAATCATTTGACCAGAGTAAGTAGTTCACTAAAAGATTTCTAACACAAAGCAAGCTTTTGGGCCTACGACCTAGCTTTCTAAAGGCATTTACAAATTACAGAGAGATTTGGTGGCTATAATGATGGGGTATTATTCATCTGCCTCTAGTCATGTACTCTGACTTTAAAACCAGAAACCCTTCAAGTAATAGTCCACTTTAATAAGTGCTGAAATGGGTAACATTTTTCATGATTAGAAAAGCAAGTTTATGTAACTATGCAGAGAGAGGAAAGTTAATTCTGTATAAAAACAAAAACAAAACCCTATTGAGTGACCGAAATGCATTAGAAGATGGCAGGAAATGCAGATTTCAATGGACCTAGTTTTGATGACCTGAAATCTATATTCGGGATCAACTCATTGAAAAAATGACTCACGGGACCAGCATTTAGCATAATGGCTCTGTCACTGAACTCCCATGTAGCCGACCGTGGTTTGAATCCCGGACCCGGTGGCTTAAATTCAGGTCAGGCGCATGTGCATGCGTGCCCAAGATCCCAAGAGGAGAATGGAAGAAAAGGGATTGCGGCGTGGCCATCCACTCTGGGGGGTAATTTCCCGCTTTCTATCTCTCTGTCCCTCTCTCTCTTTCTGGCGAGCACATGCGCCCTATAGCAAAAACCTCTAAAAAAAAAAAGACTTACATGAATATTTATTCTCTAAAAAGAATACTAGTGCTATATAGCATTTTAAATTTTATTTATCTTAGGGGCCAGAAGGTGGAGTGGAGGTTAAGGCACTGGACTCCCACATGGCTGCCTGTGGGTCATTGAATCAGGTGGCTTGAAAATCACACCAGACCCATGCCTAAAACCCTGGGAGGAGAATGAAGGAGAAGGGACTGCAGCATGGCCATGCCTCCAGGGGGTGATTTCTCACTCTCTGTCTCCCTCCAGCAAGCAGATGCATCCTCTGGCAAAAACCTATAAAACAGGGAACACATGCATGTGATTGAGAGCGGGAGAAAGGGAGGGAGGAAGAGAGAAAGGAAAAGAAAGACAGGCACTGGGAGAGCCTGGCTTCACTGGGGTCCCTTTCCCTTCAGCCTGCCGGGTTCTTTTTTTTTTTTTGGAGAGATTTTCACTGTAGGGCGCGTGCGCTCGCCAGACAGACAGAGAGAGACATAGAGACAGAAAGCGAGAAATCACCCCCCAAGGGGGATGGCCACGCCGCAATCCCTTCTCCTCCATTCTCCTCTCGGGATCTTGGGCACGCACGCACACGCGCCCGCCGTGAGTTTTAAGCCACGGGGTCCGGGACACGAACCGCGGTCGACTACATGGGAGTCCAGCGACATAGCCATTACGCTAACTGCTGGTTCCCAGCCTGCCGGGTTCTTGACACGTGCCCATTGTGCTTCAGGTCGACATGGCCAGGAGTCCAAACCCATAGGTAACCGTGTGGCTTCCTGCACTGCAATTCAGTATACCACTGCTTCCATCATGGTCTTCAGCATCGAGGCTGGGCCTCAGGCAGTATTTTGGCCTAACTTAAAATCTATTCCATCTTTAAAAATAGTTCAAGCATGCCTGAGTGATAAATTACTAGCTTAAAAGAACTTATCTTTTAAAATATTTAATATGCTTTTAAAACTCAGCTGCCAAATGAAAGAAAGGCTCTCTGAGAGTGCCGACTTCAGCCCGGCTTCTACCATGTGCTACCCAGAACAGAATCTGCTTAAGTCAAAATGATAGCGGAAGTGATGAGACCACTTGGAAGTTTAATTAAACATCCTATATCAATAAATATCATTTACCAAACGAACACCTAAGGCTTCATTACTACTCAGTAGCGAGAAGCAGTATGAATATAAAAGCAGCCACCACCTTGTTCTAGAGATGAACTGATATCTATATATTGGGTTGCAGAATAATGAAGGGGAAAAAGTTCCTCTTTAATAGAACTATTGCAGACTGAGGAGAAAATGGCTATTGCCTTTAAGAAGTAATTCTCTAAAACATAAAAAGAAGAAGTATCCCAAGCTTCTATATGTGGTCAGCTGTTTGTAAAATCACATAAAAGTTCACATATTTCATAACCATGATGACAAATTATTAACCTCAGGAATCTCTTGGGACAGCAGATTTATTACCCCAGCGATATGGACTTCCTGAAAGATTATACGGCTGTTATTATCACCTACTGCAAATGAGCACCAGCGTTTATCTTGCAGGCCCAAACTTAAAGGTACGAATCAAGAAGAATCTCAGTGTGTTCTGTTTATTCCTTGTTCAAAGGCTAATCCCAAATCCCTGTGTAACCAAACAGGCTTTCCCACCCTCCTGACGGAGCAGAGAAGTGGGAGGGGGCGGAGGGAGGGGGTGGGCAATAAAGTCAGTGGAGATGGGGAAATGAAGCAGGTGTAAAGCCCTTGCGACAATCCTCAGACCTGGCTGTTGTAAAATGTAAAGTCCTACGCATAGCCACTCAAATAAAACGCGCTCCCCTGGAATGGAAGTACGTGGAGACAACACACAGCACCAAGGAAAGGCGTCATGAGAGGGATGTACAACCTGAGGGACAGCTTTTGGTGGGAAGGGACAGAACAAAGGGAGAGAGGATGGAGTCCCAGAAAGGAAGCATGAAGGGGTCAGCGGAAAGATAGAGAGCGGAAAAAGAGTCCAGCAGGACTGGGGTTGGGGCAGGGAGAGTATTAACACATGGACGGAGACAGAGACTCTATGAGTGAGACCTTCTCAAAATAATCAAGCATTATCCCATTTTTAAACTACCCAATGGCTTTTTTTTTATTTATGTTTTTCAAGTCCTGGGTATGTACACATAAATGAATATTTTGAGTCAGTCATGTGCATGGAAATACGCACATCAACTGGGCCATAACGACCCCTCTGTACGTAGGGAAGACATTGTGGCATTTTAATTGTATGAATATTACATATTATTAAAGAAAGTAAAACAAAAAAAGCCAGTCAGGCAACATCACTTTGTTCTAAATAAAACTGTTTGTATTTTTAAGAGAAGAAGTCAACCAAGGGCCAGATATTCATTAGCTGGTGGTGTTTTTTTTTGTTGTGTTTTTTTTTTTTTTTCTATGTATACTTATAAAGAGAAACATAGTTTAATAAAAATCTCTCCCTCAGTGTAATATTGGTAACAATACAGGAACTGGATTCTAGATACACACCCCCTCCCCACGCCATTTCAAGTTAAAGATTACTCCCATTAGTATATAGTAAATCAAGCTGAAAGCACTATAGCCTTCACTTTTAAAAAGCAGCAAGTGATGATGCGGAACCCAGCCAGAAGTCGTCCCTGGCTCTCCCACGAGGCACTCTGCCATATGGCCCCAGCAGCATTTTCAATCCAGGGAAGAGGCAGATGTAAAAGCCTCCTGGGCTGACCACGGCGGAGACCCACAATTTATCTCTGACCATCTAGTTTCCATGTAATCTCAGAGGCATCAATGCTAATCACATTGGAAGTCTTTATATGAATGTTTAGGCCCTGAAAGGCAAGCAGGGGAAAAGGTCAGGGGTATTTAACATAACTAAGCAGGGCTGGAAGAACACAATAATAAATAAAAAAGGAAGACTTATTCAATTTATTGACGTCAGCCACATACTCTCACCATTTTTTTATTCAATCAACTAGCTAGCCATATCTCTTTCAAGATTAAATACACACACACTGCCCTCTCAACCGCCTGAAACTATAATCATAAATAGAAACTGTCCAAAAAAGAAAACAGGACAACAAAATGCTGCATAATCAGCTTACCAAATGGCTCATCTGATTGATCTTGGCCTCTCGGAAGCCACATGAAAGGGGGAACCTTCAGTTGTTTTCCATTTCTGTACAGTTCTCAGAGCATTTTACCCTGAGAGGCAGTGAGACACAATGAAAGCACGCTGAGTTGGAACAGAAGACTGTTCAAGCCCTAGTTCTCCTGACAAGCCATTTACTCTTCCT